GTCGCAAGTCCCCTGGTCTGTTTTCTTTTGGCATTTAAAACCCAGTAGCAAGCTGGGAAGCAGGTTTACTTTCTCCTATTCAGCACTTATGTCAGTAGCAGGGACCTCCGAGACCCTCCAAGGGGCCCTCCCAAGTTACTCTGGGTAGGCCTGTGCTCAGAACTGCGGGTTTCCAGGGGATGTGCACAACCAGCTCTGAGGATGGCTGTCTTGGTTGGAATTTAGTTAACCATATGTTTCAGTTAACTAGCATTTTTCTCCTTGCCCTTCACTTTTAGGAGGAAAACCTCAACAGAATATTCTAAGATTTATCTGGGATTAAAAAACCCGTGTAATTATTAGACTGTATCTACCTATTTACCTATTATAGCACCCTATGTCCATGAATCTTCACAATTTGTGATTTTTCAGACCCTGGAGTAATATGAGGATCCCGAATCATCATTATTAGTAAATTAGATTAAATTATAGAGACAGGAAATTGTACTCACGTATTTGTGAAACATTTTCACCAAAGATATAATTAAATATTGTTTTTAAGTTGTGAAAAATTTTAAATCTGTAAAAGAAGCTGAAAGAATGGAGCAATGAATATCCAAGTTCTAACCTGGATGTGCCAATTATTAACATTTTGTCATACATTTTTGCGTCATTTTCTCTTTCTCTCACTCTCTCAACCATTTCTGAGTGCCTCAGAGTACGTTATAAACATCATGACTTTCTACCCCTAAATACTTCAGCATGTATCCCCTAGGAATCTAGTCTTCTACATAATCACAGTATATTTATCACACCTGAGAAAGCAACATGAATTTTATACACACACACAGGATCCAGAATCCAATCAAAGTTTCCTTTGGCTGTCATCTTTTTTTAAATTCAGGCCCGTGGTGGCTCCGTGCCCCTCCCCCCGCTCCTTGTCACTGTGTGCTCTGACTGACCTGGTTGTCACCTCTGTAGTCTCTTTTTTCTTTTTTTAAATTAATTTATTTTTGGTTGCCTTGGGTCTTCGTTGCTCATTGCGGTGGCATCTCTTGTTGCGGAGCACGGGCTCTAGGCGCTCAGGCTCAGCAGCTGTGGCTCACAGGTTCTAGAGCGCAGGCTCAGTGGTTGTGGCACGTGGGCTTAGTTGCTCCGCGGCATGTGGGATCTTCCAGGACCAGGGCTCGAACCCGTGTCCCCTGCATTGGCAGGCGGACTCTTAACCTCTGTGCCACCAGGGAAGCCCCTTTAGTCTCTTTTAATCTAGAACAATCCTCCCCTCCTTCTTTTTGTCTCTTATGACATTGAGGGTTGTTTTTTTTTTTAAGGAGTCAGGATTTTCAGGATAATTGTCTTGCATAATGCCCTACAAAGTGGATTTTTTAAATTTGTTTTCCTCTTGAGTAGAGATAGGTAATCATTTTGGGGGGCGCAAAAATAATGTAAAAGCGATGTTATACTTTCTTGTTGCATCATATCAGGTGGTGCATGTTGTCAGGCTGTCCTTTTATTAGTGATGTTAAATTTGATCACTTTAGACGCCAGGTCTCTCCATAAAAGCACTGTTTTCCCTTTGTAACTAAGAAGTTACCTGTAGAGTGATCCTTTAACATCATATGAATAGTCAGATTCCCAACAACCTTTTACCCACTGGTAAAATTGTCTCAGAACAATTATTACACTGTGAGGGGCAAGTGGTGATTTTCTAATCCTGTCATTCCTTTCATGTTTATGACAAGTATCTGTATAGAAGAGCTTTCAGCGGGTTTTCAATCTTATTTTCTATACCGAGGAAGTGAGAAATCTCTCCATTGTCTAAGTAATCAGTTCAAGCAAATTTTTACTTAATATGTGTGGGACTACAGAGTTGCGTCTCCACAGGATCCCAGCAGGAATCTTGGGTATTATCACTGAGAAGGCAGAAGGAAGCAGATAGTTGTCATTTTTTTTGGCAGAGAAAAAAGTGATGCTAGAGAGACATGGCTGGAATTAGTACTTTCTAGAATCTGCACTGTGCAATTTGGTAGCCACTAGACACATGTGGCTGTTTAAATTTAAATTAACTAAAATGAAATAAAACTTAAAATGCAGTTCCTCAGTCATATTAACTACATTTCAAGTGCACAGTGGCCACATGTGGCTGGTGGCTACCACATTGGACAGTGCAGATCTAGAATACTGCCATCACTGCGGAAAGTTCTGTTGGATGATGTGCATCTAGAATCATCCTCAAGTTCCCCCAAGCAAAATGTCGAACCAGTTTGGGATGAGGTTAGGGTGGCCCTGATTTTGTGAGTTTATCAGGTTATTCCAGTGTTTCGTACTCCATTGTTTGAATTCTGGCCTGGCCATGTGGGCCGAGGATAATAGATGAATTCCTCTTATGTTTCCAGGACTTGAATGAAAATAGTCAAAACCTAGTCTTTATAAGCAGTTCTTGTTAAACAGAATTTATTTTAATTCTTGTTAAACAATTTTTTTTTCTCCTAGCAGAGGTTAGTTGAAAGAATAGAGGGGGCTAGACTTCATTTGGAAGCTTTTATTATGTTTGGCCTTATTTTCTTCATTGTAGGACAAGGCACACTTAAGCCTTTTCTCTTACCCATAGGGTTCCTATTTCACCTAGGCTGATAAAATCCATATGTTTTATCTTTACTGCGTGGAAGCCACTTACAAAGGCAATACACCTGTTTCAAAATTCACAGTAGAGAAAGGAGAGACTGTCCGTGGCAGGTATGAGCTGCTGTGCTCTTCGCCATCCTGCCCGCCATGCCCTTCAGATCACATCATCTCGTTGCTCCTGCCCCACAATAGCCTCTCTGTGGTTAGGCAGAAGGCTGCTGTGTCACCAGGCTTTCCGGTAGGCTGTCTGGGAGACAGACTGGTAACCAGTGCTCTGCTCCTCTCTCTGAGGCTTTACTGGGGAGCTCATCTATGCAAATTAGTCTGCCATGAAGTGGCTCCATGCGGCTGTAGAATCCACAGAACAAGACCTAATGTTGGATTCCTATAGCTGTTGGTCTTACAGATCTGACACCATATAGAGGACATTTCTCTATGGAACGTACATTAGAGACTCTCAAATCAGGTGAGAGTTAAAGATGAACAGCTAGGAATTCAGTGTGACCTCTCCTCTACCATTTCAGTATGTTAGACACTTTGGAAGCACTGAGGCTCTCGTGTGACCTCTGTGGGTAGTCCTGGGACCCCAGAATATTTCATTTCCAAAAAAATCTCTGTGAGGTTTGTTGCTCAAAAGTTCCTGGATAGGGGCTTCCCTGGTGGTGCAGTGGTTGAGAGTCCGCCTGCTGTTGCAGGGGACACGGGTTTGTGCCCCGGTCCGGGAAGGTCCCACGTGCCGTGGAGCCGCTGGACCCATGAGCCATGGCCGCTGAGGCTGCGCGTCCGGAGACTGTGCTCCGCAACGGGAGTAGGCCACAACGGTGAGAGGTCCGCGTACCGCAAAAAAAAAAAAAAAAAAAAAAAGTCCCTGGATAATGTCCAGCTATGAGGTCAAGCCTCCAGGCCTCAGAAACTCCTGCCAGAAATTGACCTCTAGACACAGTGAAGTCAATCTAATTCACTACAAAGATTCCATCAAACCTCAGACCTGTGGGGAGGAAATCTGGTGCCAGGTACACTATAGGTTTTAACAGAGTGCTCAGAACAGGGCCTGGCTTGGTAGGCACTCAGTAAATATTTGCTGAATGCATGAATTCATCTCGTGGGTTTTAAACTTTGCCTTCAGCAAAATATGGTGTGACTGTTCCCTTTCCTTCTGTATCTCCTCACCCCCATCCAGGGGGCACGCACCTTAGCTTAGTGCTCGGCAAGCCTGGAGTAAAACAGAGTGGAGGCTGCCAGTATGTCTGTGTTGTCTTCTATTCTTCCTTTCCATTAGTCTCTTTTCTCAAGATATATCCTGGGCATCACAGGTGGAGAAGCGGGAGGGAGAGGAGGAAAAATAAGGCACACGTGGGGCTTTGCACATCCACTGTCTGCTCATCGGAGTCAGCGCCCTGGTGCCAGACAGCAAATAACACACATGGTCAAGGCCATTCAGCACCTCTCTTCAAGCTCAAATCAGACCTGCTGAAAGCTGTGTTTTCTATTTGGCTTTTATGATCCCAGCCACTCTTTGCAATATTGGAGGGAACGAGGAAAGTAGAGAATTTTCCTGGCATCTTTGTCTCCTCCTCCGCTGCCCCATGTTATCCGTGTCATCAGTGCCACGGTTCTCTGCCTTACAATGAGGAAGGTTCAAGGATAAAGAATTAACAGATACATAGGGCAATGGTTGGTATGTTGCTAAGCCAAGTCAGCTTACCCTAGTGCTTTCATGGATTTTGTTATAAGTGGATTGTGCCACCTTGCTTTTTCTTTCTGTCTTCAGTTGCTGATCTCAAACGTGTGAGTTCTCAGGTCATCTGTGCTGCAGGGGGATGCGGGGCCACCAGGATAGAAAGTTAATGATATGCATGCTGAAATATTTAGGGGGAGTGTATGGATGTCTGCGACTTTATTTGAATTCATCCAAAAAATAAGGTGGATGATAGAGAGAGGGCTAGGTATGTAATAAAGAAAATACAGCAAAATGTTAATGGTAGAATCTGGGTGAGGGGTATACAGGTATTCACTATAAATTCTTTCAAAACTTACCTGGATATATGAAAAATTCCATAACAAAAGGTTAGGAAATAAAAGCAGGTCAGAGGGGAGTAAGGAAGCAGCAGAGAGGAAGAGGCCTGGGACGGCAGGAACCCACCTTTTGCTACCTGGGGCCATCTGGTGCAGGAGGGCAGGCGGACAGTTTGCCCGGCCTACCCCTGGGATCTGATGTGGTGTATGACCTCTTTCGCACGACTTCTGCATGACAGCCTTTCCCTTCTTTTAGCTAACCACTCCTTCCACCTTGGGAAGATGGTCAGCCTCTTGGCTACTTTGAGCCAGCCTGGCCGCTATGGTCCAAGCTAATACTCTCTGTTTTTCTCCTTGTCTTTCTCTCTGATGACTTATAGAGTTGGTGTTGATCCAGATCAAGACCCACCACCCAACAATGACAGCTTCCAAGTCTTACAAGGGGTAAGTCACAAGAGATGCTTCTTCCCAGGGAGGTGTTATTAAAAATAGCTAAAATTTATTGAACGTTTACTACACGCCAAGCAGTTTACGTGGATTCCCTCATTGTGGTCTTGACAACAACCTTATGAAGTAGGAACTGTTATCCCCAGTTTACAGATTAGAAGCTGAAGTTTGAGAGTTGAAGTGAGTCATCTAAGGTCAGAGAATTTGAAAATGATGGAGGCAGGATTTGAGTCCAAAGTCCCTGTTCTTAACATATTAAGGGGCCAAAAAGTGTGTTTAAGCTGACTCCCTACCTTCCAAGAATGGATATATGGATACCTCGGTGATTGGCTCACGGTAACTGGTTCTGGGAAGGAGAGGGATGTGATCAACTCTGCAGCCCAGGGAATCTGAGCAAGAGAGGAGGGACGCTGGGTGATGGCGCGGCAGTAGCAGAGCAGCAGCCCTCAGCCCCATAGGCGATGAAGGTCACAGCAAGGCTAACGGTTAAGGTTTGGGCAGGATCGTGGTGGCAGTGACAGCCTGGAGTGGAAGCTGTAGAAGCAGGTGAGGGCAAGAGCGCTATGGCCGCATCTCGTGTGACAGCAGGGAAGAGTTCCTGCTGCCACAGAGAATTCTGATGGAGACCGGGGTGGGGCGGGGGTGGGGATGGTGGGGGAAGAGGCGCGTGCTGGTCCTTGGTTTTGCCATCTGCTCCGGTCACTCTTGCAGCATAATGCACTGCCCCAAACATAGGAAGGAAAGTGAACAACAATTTCGTATCCACATGCATTCTCTAGGTTTGGAAAGGGCATAGTCGGGACAGCTTGCCTCTGCTCCATGAAGAAACCTGGGGGAAACTCAACAGCTGGGAGCTGGAATCATCCAAAGGCTCATTCGCTCATATGTCTGGCGCCTGGGCTGGGAGGACTCAGACTAGGACCAGCGACTAGAATGCCTGTGATGGCTTCTCCATGGCCTCAGGGTATGGGACTTCTTATGTGATGGCTCAGGCTTCCAAAAGCCCGTGTCCCAGCAAGCAGGGTGGAGACTATGTGGCCCTTTCTGGCCTAACCTTGGGAGTCACACAGCATCACTTCCGTGACTTGCTCTTGGTTACAACAAGTTGCTAGGGCCAGCCCAGATTCAGTGGGAGGAGATAGAGACCATCACCTCTGGATGGGAGGAGCATAAGCGAAGTGGCAGCCATGTTCTAAAGCTGCTGTATCAGCCCTGTTGTGGGGCTGGTGGGCTCATTCTGCCTCCAGGTTTTTTTTTTTTCTTTTTGCTGTACGCGGACCTCTCACTGCTGTGGCCCCTCCAGCTGCGGAGTGGAGCACAGTCTCCGGACGTGCAGGCCCAGCGGCCACGGCTTACGGGCCCAGCTGCTCCACGGCACGTGGGATCCTCCTGGACCGGGGCACGAACCCGTGTCCCCTGCATCGGCAGGCGGACTCTCAACCACTGCACCACCAGGGAAGCCCTGCCTCCAGGTTTTGCTCCTTCCCCAGACCAGCATTTCCTGGGCAGGCAAGGTGGGGGAAGGGAAAGGCGGTGCCCACTTTAACGGTGCTCCAGAAGACCTTTGCGGCTATATTAGAATCGGCCATTGTGCCAGGGGGGACATGTGGCTTCAATGAGAAGCTCTTTTTGAAAAGTTGCTCTTTGACTTGAGCTTTGATTAAGGACTTTAGAGAACAGGGGTTCAGGAGCTGTGCACCTGGCAGCCAATTTAGAGTCTGACAGTTTGGGTTCCCCCAAACTGGGATCTGAGGAAACCTGGGTGAAATTCATGATGGACATCCTCATTTCACTGAAGGGAAAATAATGGCTCTGGTAGGATACACATCCTCCATAGACCTGTGGCCTGCCAAGTTAATTTTGTAAGAAAAACAGGTCACTGCCAGGTGGATATCAAGGGTTTGGGGCAATTTCATCTTGACAGTTCCAAGTTGGTCAATACCGACCCCCTCCCCCCGGCCATTTTGCTGTTTTCCATTGCTCCTGCCTCTGGACTCAAGCATCTGTGAAAGGAAATACATGAAATGGTTTGGCTGGTTTCATGTAGCTGAACTTACTATGTCTCAGAGACAGTGGGCTTGTAACTAGACTTAGTGACAAACTTGCTGTGGAAATGTTTGAAAAGCAGTGGGTCCTAAATGCTATGGGTTCTGGCGGTACATTTAGTCCATGCAGCGATAGTTAAGGTAGCGCCCCCAGCCTCAGGCAGGGCAAACATTGGAAACCGCCCTTTGGGCCAATTTTGACCAGGCAGGTGGTAGCCACTTCCGCTGCACTCCCAGTGGCGCCCCTTTGGCCGGCGCTGGTCAGGAGCTGTGTCACACCTTTGCTTTAACCGCCCTCCTTCCAAACCTCATACGCAGTCGTGCAGAGGGCCCTCAAAGGCAGTTCTGTTGGCATTTTGAAAGTCTTTCAAGATTGCTGTCAGAGGGAAGAGATATGGGAACATATGTATATGTATAACTGATTCACTTTGTTATAAAGGAGAAACTAACACACCACTGTAAAGCAATTATACTCCAATAAGGATGTTAAAAAAAAAAGATTGCTGTCAGACTGGAAAAAAAAAAAGGCGAACTTCAAGTTCAGTTCTTCGGGACACCTTCTGAAAAATGACTCATGCCCTCATGCAGAAAGGGCCTCATTTTTCCAAGTCCTTCTGGCCTGACTTCTTGATCCAGTAAGCCATTAACAACAGGGCTGGGAGCACTCAGTGGTCATGAGAAACCAGTAAAACAGAGAACTAAATGGGCTTCTCAGTTTTGGGTGAAACCCTGGGTTCCTCGCAGCTTCCGCTGAAATGGATCCAGATCACATGCTCAATGTTGCCATGAAACTGAAATCAGAGGTGGGGGAAGTCCAGATGTTTGTTCCCCATCTTGCTGAAAGCAAACAAACAAACAAAAAAGTGATATTTGATGGGAAAGCACAATTTACAAGGAGCACGATTTTCCTCACCGGTCCTAGAAGCCCAAGGTTATAAACAGAGTCATGGCTACAGAGCCACAGAATATTAGCTCATGTGGGCGAAAGAAGGGAGCTGTTGGCCAGAACTTTTGGCTCTATGTGAGGGAAGCATAAGAATATTGTGGATAGACTTAAGCTTCATGTCCCTGGCAAGTTTGACTCATTACAACAAAACAAAACAAAAGACTCAGCTGCTTTGTTTCTGTGGAGGTCTTGGTGACTTTGCAACCAAAACAAAAACAAGCCCAGCTGGAGGCAAGCTGCCTGGGCCTGGGGGTGGCCTCCCAACCCATTCAAGGGGGCATTTTTCATGCCAGATGCAGCTGAGATTTATGTTGGCCGGACACGCAGACACATCATGCACTTCCTTCCCCAAGTTTACAGAAGCGCGCTCATTGATGAGACCGCTTTGGAGTAGGCAGGAACACGAATCTGAATGTATCCCGCCTCTGTCATCTCAGCAGGACAAGGTCACAAGCAGGATATTAGTGGAATGTGGGGGAAGGGAACCACTGTGCTCGTGGTGTGTGTGTGTGTGTGTGTGTGTGTGTGTGTGTGTGTACCTGAAAACTGCAGAAACTCAGCTGTTTATAGTTGCATTCACATATACCTTTCTGAGCAAGTTGGATTTGTTTGTTCCTGGGTCCTCCCCCAGTTTCCTTCCAGGCTAAAATCTGACATCCAGTCCCTTAAATCTTTAACTTCAAACAGTTGCTGAAGTGCCTTTCCTCAGATTACTACTCTCTGACTGCCTTCCCCACCACACTTTTTTGTTTTTCTGATGGCCTCCCTTGGCCCCTGATTTCCCTTTCTGCTATTCTTTTTTTTTTTTTGTCTTAGAAGTTCAAAATTAACATTTATTCATTCATTTGACAAATATTTGTGGAGCATCTGTTATATTTCAAACATTCTTGCAGGCTCTGGGAATACATTTGCAAACATGACAGATGAATCTCTGTCCTTAAGGGTTTGGTGACAATGTGATGAAGGATAAGGGTGGAGAGTGGCAGAGGTGAGATGGCGGAGGGCCTTGTCTGCTTCTCCAAGAGGGACCGTGAACCTCCCCCCTGCTGTTCCGAGTGTCCCCGTGGACAGCAGCCTGGGCATCACCAGAGAGCTCGTTAGAAATGCAGACTCTCAGGCCCCTCCTGAGAGAATCACAGAATCAGAATGTTCACTTTAACAGGGTGCCCAGGAGGGTTGTGTGCACTTTACAATTTGAGAAACCCTGGTGGAGACAGTGTGGAGCTCTTAATTCCCTGTTTTTAAACCCTGTGTTACCCGCTTCTGAGAAATCTTGGCCCCATCATCCCAGGGACATGAAAAAGACCCAAATCGGGTTGCATCAATTATGTACTCTGTTGCTCTGCATTAGTTTCATATCGTTGCTGTAACAAATTACCACAAACTCAGTGGCTTAAAACAACACAGTCTTATAGTTCTGTAGGTCAGAAGTCTGGTGGGTTCTACTGGTTTCTCTCTTTTAGGTCTCTTAAGGCCAAAATCAAGGTGTCAGTGGGGTTGGACTCTGGGGGAGAAGCCACTTCCAGTCTCCTTCAGGTTGTTGGTAGAATTCCCTTCCATGTGCTTGTAGGACTGAGGTCCTGTTTCCTTGCTGGCCATTGGCTGGGAGTCAAGCTCAGGTCCTAGAAGCACCCGCGTTTCCTGGCTCTTGACCCCCTCCACTTCCAACTATGAAAACTTCATGCTCTGAATCTCTCCTGCCTCTTCTCCCACCACATCTCTCTGACTCTCTTGCCCGCCTTGTCCACTTTTCAGGGCCCATGTGATTATACTGGGCCTACCTGGAAAACCTTAAGTCCACCCACAAAGCCCCTTTAGCCATGTAACGTTAACAGACTCAGGCTCCAGGGATTAGGATGTAGAAATCTTTGGGGGGCAGGGGCAGTATTCTGCTCCATCTCTGAAAAAAAAAAATAAGCTGTTCTCATTATTGTAATGACCTTAACATAAAAAATACATCTCTTAACAGTAAGAATGGAATGAAATATAACTCTACCCAGAAATCATTATTCATTAGTTCTAGAAAAATTATTTCAAAATAGGACCTTTTTGCCACTCCCCAGGTCTTCAATCTGCTTTCTTTTTCTTCACCCCATATGTATCTGTCTGTCTGTCTCCCCCTCTGGAAATGTGCTCCTCAAGTGGCAGGTGCTGGGTCTCATTCCTCTTTGTGTTTCCAGCACCCAGCATGGTACCTGGCACACAGTAGGTGCTTAATGAATGCAGGAGAAATAGCCGTTCATTGTTTCATGCTCAAAAATTGGTGATAAGCAGAGCTAGTGGTATTTATTTTCCTGAAGGGGCTTCTCTATTAACAATTTCAGTAAAATGTTTTAAAATCCCTTGTGTAACTCATAAGGACAGAGAGCAGAATGGTCGTTACCAGGGGCTGGGGGATGGGGGAGGGGGAGATTTGGGGAGATGTTTAAGGGTACAAACTTGCAACTAGTAGATAAACAAGTTCTGGAGAGCTAATGTACAGCATAGTGAATGTAGTCAACAATACTATATTATAAACTATAAAGTTGCTAAGAGACTAGATCTTAATTGTGCTCACCACAAGATAGAAATGGTAATTATGTGACAGGATAGAGGCATTAGCTAACCTACGGTGGTAATCAAACTGCAATATATAAACATCAAACCAACACTGGTGTACACCTTAAACATACGCAATGTTATATGTCGATTATGTCTCAATTTAAACTTGCCCAGAGTCACACAGCAGGGCAAAGGCACAGTCAGGAGTAGAGCTAGGACTTGGGCCCAGGTAGTCTGTTGAGAAAGCCTGTGATGGTTACACCTACACCTCTTGGAGCACTCCATTGCCTTTGAAACATTTCTCAGAGATGCCATCCTTGTGCACAGCCTTGAAAGATGAATAGGGATCAGCCAGGTAGGTGTTGTGGGTGGAAGAAGGTGAGAATATGCAAGGGTGTTCTGGATTCTAGAAGCAGCCTGAACTAAAGACATGGGGGTGTGAACCGTCCTGGTGGGGATGGAGGTTTTGAGGAGGGCATGGTGGGAGAGCCAAGTCCCCGCTTTTTCTCTGGGCAGCCCAGGCAGGCGGCCCACCTACTGTAGGATCACCTGCACCCACACTGATCCCTGCTTGGAGCCTGCAGGAAGGGCTGGCTGGCTTGTGAGTGGTAGCCGCCCAAATCATGCTAGGAAGCAGTTGTTGGTTGTCTTCTGGGTCAGCTTAAAAAAATCAGTCCTGTTCCACAGACCCTCCCCGATTTCCCCAAAGCCTCTATATGTGGATTTATCCAAGTTCTTCCTGTACATAATCATGCTTCTGGCCCCATCTCTTAGAATAAGAAGTTGTTTAACACCCCCGTTACAGAGTTGCACTTTTTATTTGCCCTGAATTTGTAACCCTTCAGGGTTGGCTCTTAGTGTCTTACATTTCTAAGGTCGCTTTATCTTATTTGTGGACTGTAGGCATATCTCTTTGTAGCCTGAGAAGACCTTTTCTTAATTTGCCTTCAAAAAAAAGCCTTTCCCTTGCTTTACTCATTTTCATTGTCCCTCTTGGGGCTTATATAGGTCAGTCTCCTGTAGCTTCCTTAAGGTGGGATGGCAAGAACTTAAGTGTTGCAGGTGATGAGAATGCACTGTGATTTGATAATGCAGAGGTTAGGATGACAGAATAGGGGTTTGCCATTTTCATTGTTATTTTAGTGGAAGAGCAGACAAGTGACTTTGGGGAACTTGTCTTATGCCCAATGGTTTATAGCATCCTTCCAGAAGATGTTTATCATCTTGCTAGTTCTTTCTTTAGTAAGATTCTACAGACACTTAGAACCAAGAGCTTAGAGCCTATCACTGTATAAAGAAGCATTTAATTTTTTTCGTAAAACGGTCATCTCTCAAAAAAGTCATCTACCGCTTTTCCACTCAGTCGTGTGGCATTTTGAAATCTCCCTAGAGTTGTCATTGGGCTAGCAATTAATTACCTGAAGGAATGATTGTTATCTGCAAATAGAGACATTTCTGTGCCCCCTTTTCCCTATGTGATTTATTAAAATGTGAAATAAAGTTGGTCTCTGGGGTCTCTCCTTTTTATTTCCTCATCCACAGAAGGGCCCATTTAACTAAGCCATTTGCATATATGTCACTAAACATTCCTCAAATACCGTGGGGGACACTGTTTTTAAAAGTCATCTTTGCCGTTGGAAATATTAGGAATTTAAATAGTGCTTGCTAACTTCCCTCCCTATGCTTGTCTGTATCTTACCTTCTCAGAGATTTCTGACTCATTCTCGGCATCTCTACTACAGGTAGCATTTACACCCACTGAGATTTGGAACTACATACTTGTAATCGTTGACTCAACTTTTATTTGGTTATTCTTTTTTTTTTTGCGGTACACGGGCCTCTCACTGTTGTGGCCTCTTCCGCTGTGGAGCACAGGCTCCAAACGCGCAGGCTCAGCGGCCATGGCTCACGGGCCCAGCCGCTCCGCGGCATGTGGGATCTTCCCGGACCGGGGCACGAACCCGTGTCCCCTGCATCGGCAGGCGGACTCTCAACCACTGCGCCACCAGGGAAGCCCTATTTGGTTATTCTTGATTGCTCCTTACTTGTAGAGCTGCCTCTCCCTAGAACATTCAAGAGGAGGATGATGAAAATGGCTGCACTTCACAAGCAGCCTGTACTTTCAGAGCTTGTCATCCAGCAACATAGAACCCCAGCACTGCCCTCAGACTGCTGCCATCAGTCCACTTTTTAATATTAATTGTGCTGCTTATCCTACTCACACAGAACAGATTTCCTAAACCACAAATGAATGTTTGATTGTGCCAGTTACTTTGAAAATGAAATGATGGGGATGTTTGAGTTGGAAAGGCATGAGAAGCGTAGTAAAGGAACGTACTACTTGAGGGCAGAGAAAATAACAGAGATGCTGATTCTGGCTCCCTTTCCCCTGCCCACCACCCCCCCTTCCTAAAGCTGGGAGGGCAAGTTACTAACTGCCTGGAACACAATGCAGGTGCCTGGGTAAGGACCACAAAGAGCCCTTGGCTGGTTTGTCAGGAAACTCAACCAAGCGTGATTTCCCCAGGCCAGCTGTGGGGGACCTGGAAAGTTGGTTTTACAGATGCTTTCTTTAATCTTCTCTATAAATCAATTTTGGCCTGTTAGGATCTAGACTACTTTAGGGTAATTAACCTGCTAAAAGGCACTCTGAGGAAAATTACAGTAAAAATGCCAAAAGAAATTTTGTACTACATTGAGTTGGTCTACTCTCAGACATAACCAAGCCTGTTTCTTTGGGGATTGATTTGTCTGCCTTTTGGACTTACTTGATTTCTTTTAAAATATTACCTCCCGATAAATCTTTGAAATTTTGGTGATACAGGATGTTTGACTCTGAGCTCAAAATCTCTAAAGGTTATGGTTAAAAGGGAAGCTTTTCCCCCTATTTCAATCCCTTTTCTGCAACTAAGTATCTTTCTTCTTGTTTGTTCCTAGGATGGTCCAGATACTGCCAGAGGAAACCGGACAAAGCAGGAGAGTGCATGGCTATTCAGGCTGTGGTACAGCTTTGACCACAAGTATCCTTTTAAGAGGATTCCCTGTATTTGTGCAACATCAATGATGAAATCCTCTTGTTGAGTTGTCAGTGAATGACTTCTGATGAGCAAGGAAAGATGTGTGCTTGCTGCTACAGGTGTAGTCAGTCCTCTCTTGGGACACATGCAATGATCATTGAACCACAGGCAGTCATAACTAGCATCTCTCTGGCCAAGAAGAATGTTTGCACATCATTAGGGTAGCCAGTCCACAGCCTGGTAGACTCACGTGGCACTTCAGAGCTTTGTGTCCAAGGGAAATATGCCTGTGTAGGTGAATTAGTTAAAATTCCACTTGAACCATGCTGTGGTCAGGAAGGGAAGTGGAGGTTGGCCAGTTAATCCATGTGGAGAGGATGATTCCTATTGGCTGAACCGAGTCTGGCCAAGTCTGATCCTGGCCTTAACTGGACCACATGCAAGGCAGACTCTGTTCTAGTAGATTCACTTGGTCCCAGGTGAAAAATTAAAAACCAAAAAGTTACACTTTCATGGTTTCTTAGGTTGACATAGCGGTCAAATGGGTAGGTAGCTTATATATGGTCTTTGGAGACTTTGAAAGTGTTTAAAATTTTTTTATTGACGTAAAGAATACGTATAGGAAAGTACATAAATCATAATTGCTCTGCGAGTTATTGCAAAATAAGTACACTCAATACCAAACGGGTCATGAAACACAAAATTACCAGTTCCCCTCATGCCGTAACCCAATTACTGCCCCTTTCTCCTCCCCAAACTTAACCACTCTCCTGACTTCTAGCAACACTTAATAATATTACCTGTTTCTGAACTTTGTATAAATGTGATTATAGAGTGTTTATATTTTAGTATCTGGTTTGTTTGGCTTGACATTATTTGTGCGATTCATCCATGTTCATCTATTTTCATTGCTGTATAGTATTTCATTGTATGACTATATCATAATTTATTTATCATCCTGTTGATGAGCATGTAGATTGTTTCTAATTTGGAGCTACGATGAAAAATACCGCCGTGAACATTCTTATACATGTCTTTTGGTGCATGTTTACATACATTTTTGTTGGGAATATACCCAGGAGTGAAATTGCTGAGTCATAGGACATGCAAAGGTTCAACTTTAGAAGATGGTGTCAAACAGTTTTATAAAATGGTGGTACCACTTTTCACACTTACCTCTAGCATATGAGAGTTCCATTTGCTCCACATCCTCACTGACGGCTCGTATTGCCAGTCTTGCTAATTTTAGCCCTTCTAGTGGATTTATAGTGGTATTTCATTGTGGTTTTTTTAAATGGAAGTATAGTTGATTTACATATTATATTAGTTTCAGGTGTACAACACAGTGATTCAATATTTTTATAGATTATACTCCTTTGTGGTTTTAATTTGCATTTACCTAGTGACTAATGAGGTTGAGCACCTTACCATATATTTACTGGCCCTTTGGTATGTTCCTTTGTGAAGTGCCTGTTCAAGTCTCTTGCCCATTTTTCTCTTGGGTCATTGGCCTTTTTATTACCAATTTTAAGAGTTCCTTTGTATTCTAGCTATTAGTATTTTGCTAGTTATATGTGATAAAAAATATCTTCTCTACTTGTGACTTGCCTTTTCACTTTTAGATAGAATCTTTTGATGAACAAAAGGTCCAATCCAATTTCTTGATCTTATCTGTTCTGGTTATTATTGTTTGTGTTCTGTTTTAGAAATCTTCGTCTACTCCAAAGTCATAAAGCCAATTTCCTATGATATCTTCTAGGAGCTTTATTGTTTACCTTCTGTACATCTGTGTTTGTTTTTTTTTTAAATAAGTGACAGACATGAGCAATGAAAAAGTATAGAGAAAATTTGAGATGCTCTAGATGAGGTTATCATCTTTCATCTTTCAGAGGTGATTTACCTTGCATCTGGTCAGTGGCAAGTTTAGGGGAATGAGCAATTCCAGATCACTTTAATCCAATCGGGAATAAAGGTGATATGAATCTGGGCTTCAGTTCCTGTGAGGGTTAGTCTGTTTTCTGTGTGCCCTTTCTTCTAGGGTTCTAACCTAGAGCCTAGAGTATTTATGTAGACTTCCTCAGAAGACCCTGGACTCCAGTTTTTGTCAGATTCACTCTGTTTTTGTGAGTCTGCCAGATGCTCTGCTTAGCTTCTCAGGTGCTTTTAGGGAAAACGTGGCTCACCGTGTGCAGGGCTCACCTCTTGGATTTCCTTTTCCAGACTCTGGCCCTCTTCACTGCCATGGTAGCTTTCTGATGCCATTAAGCAGAAAATTTTGTTGTGTTTTATTTTCCCAGCTTTTCTAGTTAGCCTCAGTTGAAAAGATGGTTCAAATTACCTTGTTTGCTATTAACTAAAATAGAACCCCCCAGGGATTTTTTTAAGTTATATGAACTTTGTCTACATTGTAATTCAGAATGCATGTTACTCACTGGGCTTGGAAAGGATGTAGAGAAAATTGGAGAGAGTTCATAGGAGAGTGACAAAATGCTAAAGTGATAGATCATTTGGACAGTAAATGAATAAGGAAACATTGGGCTTGAACTACATTATAGACTAAATGACATTTAGGCATATACAGAACATTCCATCCAACAACAGAATATACATTCTCCTCAAGTGCACATGGAACATTCTCCAGGATAGATCATATGTTGGGTCACAAAACAAGTCTTAGCAAATTTATGAAAATTGAAATCATACCAAGTATCTTTTCCGACCACAATAGTATGAAACTAGAAATCAGTAACAGGAGAAAAACTGGAAAGTTCACAAATATGTGGACACTAAACAACACACTCCTAAACAATCAATGGGTCAATGGAGAAATCAGAAGAGAAATTTAAAAATTATCTTGAGACTAATGAAAATGGAAACACAACACAGGAAAACTTATGGGATGCAACAAAAGCAGTTTTGAGAGGGAAGTTCATAGTGATAAGTGATACATTCAGTGATACGTTAAGAAAAAAGAAAGATCTCAAACAACCTAACTTTACTCCTCAAGGAACTAGAAAAAGAAGAACGAAGCCCAAAATTAGTAGAAGGAAGGAAATAGCAAAGGCCAGAGCAGAAATAAATAAAATAGAGACTCAGAAAACAATAGAAAAGATCAACGAAACTAAGAGTTGGTTTTTTGAAAAGATGAACAAAATTGATAAGCGTTTAGTTAGACTAAGAAAAAGAGAAGACTCAAATAAATAACATCAAATGAAAGAGGAGACATTACAACTAATACCACAGAAATATATAGGCTAAGAGACTACTCTGAACAATTATTCACCAAAAATTGTATAACCTAAAAGAAATGGATAAATTCCTAGAAACATGCAACTTACCAAGACTGGATCGTGAAGAAATAGAAAATCTGAACAGACCAATACAAGCAAGGACATTGAATTAGTAATTAAAAACCTCACAGCAAAGAAAAGCCCAGGACTATATGGCTTCTCTGGTGAATTCTACCAACCATTTAAAGAAGAATTAATCCGGGAATTCCCTGGAGGTCCAGTGGTTAGGACTCTGGGCTCTCACTGCCGAGGGCCCAGGTTCAATCCCTGGTGGGGGAACTAAGATCCCACAAGCCGTGCAGTGCAGCCAAAAAAAAGAAAAAAGAAAGAAAGAATTAACCCTTCTCAAACTCTTCCAAAAAATTGAAGATGGGGGAATACTCCCAAATTCATTTTTTGAGGCCAGCATGGCCCTGATATTAAAGCCCACCAAGGACACTACAAGAAAAGAAAATTACAAGCCAGTATCCCTGGTGAACATAGATGTAAAAATCTTCAACAAAATACTAAAAATCTGAATTCTGTAGCACATTAAAAGGATCAGACATCATAATCAAGTGGGATTTATCCCTGGGGGATGCCACATAATCAATGTGAACACCACAGTAACAAAATAAAAATCATGTGATCATCTCAATAGATGCAGAAAAAGCATTTGACAAAATCCAGCATTCTTTTGTGATAAAAACTCTCAACAAATTAGGTATAGATGGAATGTACCTCAACATAATAAATGCCACATATGACAAACCCACAGCTAACATGATACTCAATGGTGAAAAGCTGAAAGCTTTTCCTGTCAGATCTGGAGCAAGGCAAGGGTGTACACTCTTGCCACGTCTATTCAACACAGTACTGGAAATCCTAACCAGAGCAGTTAGGCAAGAAAAAGAAATAAAAGGCATACAAATCAGAAAGGTAGAAGTAAAATTGTCTCTGCAGATGACATGATCTCACGTATAGAAAACCCTAAAGATTCTACCAAGAAATTGCTTGAAGCTTTTAAACTAAATCACTAAAGTTACAGGAGATAATATCAGCATACAAAAATCAGTTGCATTTCTATATACTAACAATGAACTACCCAAAAAAGAAATTAAGAAAACAAATCCATTACAGTAGCATCAAAAACAATAAAATACGGCTTCCCTGGTGGTGCAGTGGTTGAGAGTCCTCCTGCCGATGCAGGGGACACGGGTTCATGCCCCGATCCGGGAAGATCCCACATGCCGCAGAGCAGCTGGGCCCGTGAGCCATGGCCGCTGAGCCTGTGCGTCCGGAGCCTGTGCTCTGCAACGGGAGAGGCCACAAAAGTGAGAGACCCGTGTACTGCAAAAAAAAAAAAAAAGCAAAAAAAAAACACAATAAAATACTTAGGAATAAATTTAACCAAGGAGTGAAGATCTATATACTGAAAATTAAAGAACATTGACAAAAGAAATTGAAAAAGACACAAGTAAACGGAAAGATACCTGTGTTCATGGATTGGAAGAATTAATATTGTTAAAATGTCCACACTGCCGAAAGCGACCTACAGGTTCAGTACAATCTCTATCAAAACTCTGATGGTATTTTTCACAGAAAAAGAAGAACCATCCTAAAATTTATATGGAACCACGAAAGAACCTAAATAGCTAAAGCCATCTTGAGGGAAAAGAACAGAGGTGGAGGCATCACACTTCCTGATTTCAAATTATATTACAAAGGTACTGTAATCAAAAAAGTATGGCATTGGCATAAAAACAGACACACAGATCAAAGGAACAGAATAAGAAGTCCAGAAATAAACCCTTGCATATAGAGTCAAGACCAACATGCCAAGGAAACACAATGGGGAAAGGGAAGTCTCTTTAATAAATGGTGTTAGGAAAACTGGACAGCCACATGCAAAAGAATGAAACTGGACCTCATCTTATACCACTCATAAAAATCAACTCAAAATGGATTAAAAACTTAAATGTAAGACCTGAAACCATAAAACCCCTAGATGAAAACAGAGGGGAAAAGCTCCTTGACATTGGTCTTGGCCCTGATTTTTTGTTGTTGTTGTTGTGTTTGACACCAAAAGCGCAGGCAACAAAAGCAAAAATAAACACGTGTAAAATTTTTTACATCAAACTAAAAAATTTCTGCAAAGCAAAGGAAACCATCAACAAAATGAAAGTCCTAGGATGAAAAAAATTTTTCTGAGCTTAGAATTCTATACCCAAACTGTTAATCAGAAATGAGCAGGGCTTCCCTGGTGGCGCAGTGGTTGCGAGTCCACCTGCCGATGGAGGCGGCGCGGGTTCGTGCCCCGGTCTGGGAGGATCCCACGTGCCGCGGAGTGGCTGGGCCCGTGAGCCATGGCTGCTGAGCCTATGTGTCCGGAGCCTGTGCTCCGCAAAAAAAAAAAGAGCAAAAGAAAGGAGGGTGGCTTTCAGACATGCAAGAATTCAGAAAGTTTAGCACCATGCAGACTCTATAAGAAGGGGGGAAAATAACATAAGGATTAAACAAAACAAAATCCAACTAAGGGGACAGTGATTTGTTATAACCCAGAAGTGAACAAGATCAAAAAGAAATTAAAAGATCTTTTTTTTTTTGCAAGATACTCAAATGTTCTTTTCTAACAAAGTTTAAATGACATTGTATTACATTTCCTTTAATAGTATTCCAACCACTCTGCTTGGTTACAGTGCATAATATTCATAAATTACATTATTACAAGTGCTGCTTATTGGTCTTTAACATTAGGCTCAATCCATAGACAAAGCAGATATTTGCTTATTAGTTACAGAATGCAAATGTTATATATCTACAGTATAAAATTAATTATAAATAAAAATTAGAAAGGAAAAAACTTGAAAAGAGGCAGGAATGTAAATGAATTAAATTTACCATCCTTCATAAGAGGGAGCTAAAAGCTGACTACAGTTTATAAATCAGGAAATAGGTGAAAAAAACTGTATTCTATAAAGTTGTAATGGTAAATTACCAGAAAGACTGGGTGGGAGGGAGGCTTGATATTTCAATTTTGCCCTTCCAACAATCTGAATATTTAAAATCTATCTGTAAATATTTTTTCTCTTTTAAAGAAGTTGTTAGAGGGCCTTCTGTATTTGGGAAGAGCGAGCTTGTCTTTGAACTGCCCAAGACAGGGAACTAAAAGGTAGCCTCTGGGTTCACCGGAACTCTTTTGTATTAGTCATTCTGCAAATCCAGCTGCTGTCAGCTTCTGAGCTGAAGACACAAGGAAACTGATAGGCCTGTAGGGGCTGTTTCTAGGAATGAGGACAGCAGTCAGAGTGGGCTTGTTCTGCTTATAGAGTCCCAGCAGAGCCCGCACATCCTCCTTTGATGAGTAATTCCCAGTCAGAATTTTACCCAGTGTTCACCCTTCCATCTCCTCCTGTAGAGAAGCCTTTTCTCTCTCATGCTGCTCTGAATGAAGACAGGAAGTGATGGTGCTCAGAGCAGTCATCAGCTTGGGTACAGACAGCTGTGACTCCTTCTCACCTGCCTTTAAAGTCTCTTGGCCTTTCCTGCATTTGAGGTGGCCCTGTAGGTCTCCACCTTTTCCACATTGCTTTGGCTCTGGGTATCAGAAATGGTCCCAGCTCCATCGTAATGTGACACAGGGCTGCACATTTGCCAGCACAAATATCCGTAGATTGGCAAACCCTGAGCCGGTCTCCACAGAACAGTTGACCTTCATGTTAGAACAGGGGGCTCAATTGAGGGCAGGTTTGCTTCTCAGGGGACACTGGGCCATGTCAGGAGACATTTTTGTTGTCACACCTGAGGGAAGTGTTGGGGGTACTCTAGTGGGCAGAGGCCAGAGATGCTGCTAGGCATCCTACAACGCAGGACAGCCCCCTACGACAAAGGGTGATCTGGCCCACAATGCCACTAGTGTCGAGGTGGAGAAACTGTGCTGGAGAGTCTGGGAGACAGGCAGCAGGTAGAGGGAAGAGTAGTCCTGTATGGGAAGGTGGGAGGTTGAGGTCTGAGTGACCTTCGTGAAACCGTTTTGCCTTTTGCCAAGTCCTTCAGGTCCTGTCCACCTCGAACTTTTCCACCATGTGACCTCTGGGGGGAGGGGACCCAGGGGCTGTAACATCTCCACTCCCGCTACACGATTTCCTGTTTCCAAAACATGAGCTGGTTGTGTGTCAAAAGCTGGAAGGCTGATCAAAACCAAAATTCTCATTCAGCATAACAAAGAAGGCAGAAGGGTGTTCTAATTAATCAGATATTCTTTTTAACTGAAAATGAGGAACCGCCAACCTGAAAGTTAACAGGTAACATTTAAGACTGTTGGGGCATAGTTTAATCTTGGATTCAGACTGTTGCAGACTATAGGTACTTTCTGTATTGTACTGGTAAAATGGGGGAAAAGAGGCTTTTTGGGGGTAGAATGCCAGATGATTTACTCTTTGGGATTTCTAAACACATTTTGTTGGGTGTGTGTTTTCTTTGCAGGCACTTTTCCTTAATTCTCTTTTTAAAGTTACTTGAAGCCCATCCTCACACACAGTGGCCCCCCATTAACCACCACTCTCCCAGCCTGGTGTGGCTTGCTCGCTCGATGTCTGACCAGTCCCCAGGTGTACGACGTAAGTACAGCATGGCCAGGTTGCTATGGTAACACTGCAGTTCTGCTATGGCCTTTGCTTTGAATTTCTATCAAACGTGACAGAGAACAGCATCAATGTCTCCTTCTCTTAAAGATAGTTGAGGCTTCCAGCCTCCCCAGCCCCTCCCCATATACAAATGGAATTCCCGTGCCACCTCTGATAAACTGTTTTTAAATTACAAAAAATGGGTCAGATGCCAAGAACACCATTTCCTTAGAACTGCTCCCGGTTTTGTAAAGTGATTTTTAATGCTTATGGTGAGTTTTTAGTGGAATATGAGCCTAGGTAATAATGCTAATTACCTTTCCTTTTATGTTGGAAGGATACAGACGAATAGATTAAAAAGTTACTTTTATAATTTCCCATCCCATTTTATTTAATAAATCTGTCTTATTTTGAATGCTCAATAGTTTGCTCAGTTTGGACCTCTGTGTAAAGTGACAGTGTGGGCCATTTGGATGTGTTTTATCATCAGAAACAAAGGGTAGTGACTCGGCATCCTCACTTCTCCCGCTAAAGAAGCTCCAACTGATTACACTGTTTGATTTTGTTTCACTGGGCTTACGTGTTTCTTTGCCTTCTAGCTCTAGTCTCCTTTAACCAATTTCTAAAGCCTTCCTTCTTACTTAGGTTTTACAAGGGCCACTTTTCATGTCTCTGTAATAGTAAAGTAACTAACCCACTATGAAAACTTTATAAAAACCTTACCTAATCGGAAGCTTACCAACTATTCCTCACACAACAGTTAGGGGTATCTGGCCTACTTTGAACTCAGCATAAACTCAGTATACTTCCAGGGACTTAAATTGAAAGTGCTCCCCTGACCACTTCCAGAGCCTGCCCAAGGTTTGCTTCCTGGGGTAATGTTTGGGCTGTGGACTCCCCACAGCCAACCCAAGATGCGGTGACTTGGGCTACAGGCAAGAACCACCCTCTATTCTGCCGTTACTGCCTTGGGCTGGGGTCCTGACTGGGGTCCCAGCCACCTCCAGACACAGAGAGGCCTGCTGCTGAGAGAGTGAGAGCAGAGAGTCTTTGGAAGTTTAACTGAGGAAGCCAGAGGTGAGAGAATGGAGGGGGATCCATGTGGAGTCTAGTGCCGGGTGAGGGCATCAGATGAGCCATTCTCTGGGCTGTTTGACACACTTTTGGGTGGGCCCTCCCATCACCTGGAGGGCGTTTTATACTTCACCAGGATTCTTTGGGAGATATGGAAGATGTTCGTTATTCCTCATTTCCACTAACTGTAAATGAAATTTAGGTTTGAGAACCGCCTAGAAAACAGTGTTCTTCCACCTAACGAAAATGATCTGTGGCTATTTAAATGCACACATTCCCACGACACTCTTGCTTGCAGGTGTTTGCAGGGTTATTTCTCTCCATTTCCATAGCAGCCCTCACTGGACAGCTAGTTATGTAATTACACAAACCTTCAGCTGAACAAAACTTTTGTCAATCCTGTCATCTGGAATTCAAGGGTGTGGGATAGTTTTGTCGTCAGCGTAGAACATTCCTTAAGCTTCCATCTGGAAATCCCTCTCCACTGGGTTTTACTACGTCCTTGTTTCTGAGTGACCTTTCCTGGGGTACTATTTGTCTGGGCTTGTGAGTTTCATCATGGAATGGGACAATATCCAGTCTTGTTTTCTCCTGTCAGTGAATTGTGGCCCTGCTTCCCACTGCGAGGGGTCAGAGTGGGCCACGGCGGAGCTTCCATCTGGGGGTTCCTCTGTGCTGCTGGGGAAGGAGGGACTTGGCTCCATTTGCAGAATTCCCCGCACATGCAGTTGTTCTGTATTCCTCTGTGTCCCCGTGTGGCTCCTAACCTCGAAACAGCAAAATACGTGCCAGGAGAGTCTTCTCCTGAACATTGGGAGCTAAGGAGCCCTGGGAGAGAGATTTTGACAGAGATGAACAAAAACATTACTTAGCACATGTATGAACAGGAGAAATGGAACGTGCTAAAACAGGGAACATGATGTCATCTGTTGTTAAGAAAACCATCATGGAGCAGATGGAGTTTCAGGACTTTCAGAACTACTAATGGGGAGGAGGAAATTGGGGAGTTTGGACTGAGCTTTAGAATTATGCTCTGCCCGAGTCAAGGCTGTTAATTGAACTGTACGTTTGCTCCCTGCCTCATTCCGGTGAGGGATGGAGGCAGCAAGCAAGAGGACTTGCGTGCTTGCCTGTTAAAAAAGTCGGAGCCCTGATTAAGTGGAGTCACACTGTGGAGAGTGGAGAAGCCGACGTCACTGAGAAACAACGCAGAAAACAAGCATGTGCTTGTCACTCTTACGTGCCCAGAGATGGGCCAGAACCCACGGGTCCTCCCTAGGTCAGTGCATTTAACAGGCGTTGATCTAGCACCTCCTAAGAGGTCAGCAGCGCAAGCAAGGGCGCCAGGAAGAGCAGGAGGTCACTGCTCTTCAGTGGCTTCTCACGTAGATGGGGATCCCCAGCCCGGACATGGGAGAATCTACCCCAAACTCGGGCAGCGAGACTGAGTGGGGGCCACATGGCTGTCAGGGAGGTAGGCTCAGCATCCCACACCATACACGAGGCTGAAGGACCGCAAATGCACTTTGAAGGGAGATGGGAAGTAGGAGAGAAAGAACGGTTTACGTGGAGCGGCTTGGAAGCATATGTTTGCCATTCAAGGAAGAAGCTCCCCGTTTTTGACGGCCGTGCAGCGGGGGCCCCTTGCTTTGCTTGTTAAACCATCGGAGGGTGAAAGGTTGTGCCTGACTTTACGCTGCTTCCTGACACTCTCCCCGTAGTCTCATAGTTTCAAGTGGCTGCCACTTAGCCTGCTTTGCTCAGCCTTGTCTGTTCTGCTACCACCGCTGCCTAGCATGAGATGCCCCACCAGTCCTCTTCCCGACGGGGTGATTTTTCACATTTTTTATGTGGGTAGAACCAGTCTAGGGACAGCATAAATCCTAACTCTGCTTCCAAGCAGCTGGACAGCCACAGGCAAATTCCATGGGTTCTCTCAGGTTTTCTTCTCTGTGACCCGAGTGTTTGTGCCCTTCGTAGGGAAGGGGTGAGGATCAAATGAGACCTTCTGTGACGTTCCTGGCAGACGTATAATAGATGCTCGAGAAAACGTCCCCTCCCTCTCCGTCCCTTGCTTCATCCACCTGAGGGCTTCCTTCCCATCAGGGTGTTTCTGTGGGGACAGGAAGGAACTCCTAATTATGGCTTATCCTCTTCCCTGAATTGCTGACTAGGACAAAGAGTAGTTCAACTGTAAACCAGGTGGGTTTACGGTGGTTTGTACAGGGCAGGAGGCCGCCTCCACCCCTGGAAGACCTTCCCAAAGAAGAGAGGACCTGAAACCTATTTGTAGGTTTGCCCAGGGACCTTACTCCTTCCTACCTTTGTGGGTTGGGAAGCCGAAAATTGGAGCTGATCTCCCTTTCTTCCCTTTTGTCACTTTTTGTCCCCAAGCTGTCAGGCATTTAAAATCAGAACTGCTTTCTGGTGTTTGAAGTGCTGGTTCAGCAACAGCCTTACATTGACTAGCACTCTACAGTTTGCATCCAGTTACCATGCTAAAGGCTCAAGGCAGGCAAGTTTTATGATCCCTCTTTTCAGATGAGGAGCTGAGGTTGGGGTTGGCTTCAGCCCAGGAAAATAGTGGTCTTCCATTTGTTGTTGATGTTCGTGGTGTTTGTTGCACGTTTCAGAACCAAGAGCCGCTGAGAGAGGAAGACTCTGATTTCATCCTGACCGAGGGCGACCTCACCTTGACCTACGGGGACAGCACAGTGACTGCGAACGGCTCCTCAAGCTCCCACGCAGCCCCCACGAGCGCCGAGGAGGTGCTGGAACGAGACCTGGGAATGGGAGAGCAGAAGGTTTCCAGCCGGGGCACCCGCCTGGTGTTTCCCCTGGAGGATAACGCGTGACTCCCCGCCCTGAGCCCTGAGTGACGGGGTAGGCCCACTGGCGGGGTGAGGATGGCTGCGAGCTTGACGTGGGGCCTTGACTGAATGGAACTAAACACTTCTATTTTATTGGGGTCTGAAGATATCTTCACATTTAAAATTTAACCCAAGACGCAGCTAGTGGGGCTAAAGTGTCTCTAAATTAAGACAAATGCAGACCTATTCCCACTTTGTTCACATAGTAGTGCGCTGTTCAGAGTTAAACAAACAAACAAACTAATAGCATGCTTTAATGCTCTCTTCATTCACTCACCTGCAGATCTGAACAAGATGTGGCAGGTTGAAGAACTCCTGGGGGTTCTTCCCAGGAGAGGCTTCGTATCCAGACACAGAGATGCAGGTCTAGCTGGTTGTAGGAATAGCAAGGGGGGGGAACAGGCTAGAAAAAGACCGTGAAGGAAGGCAGTGGAGATTGGACCTCCAAGGATTGTGAGAAGCTGGTGTTAAACGGGCCAGAAAACATGAAAAAGCAATTTGAGTGGAGGCTCCAGCAGCGAGGCTGCGTGACTGCACCCTCCTATCAGGATTCCTGCCCTTTTTGGCTACCTGTGTTTCCTCTAGACTGAAGGTTGGAAAATATGTCCATGAACATTTCAACATGGGGGAACGAATTCCAATTCCTTCTCTGGAAATCTCCATAAAGAAGAAGTTACTGAAATGTTTGAAACCAAAGGCAAAATAGTGTTATACTGTTGTTTTTAATTAATCTGAGGACAGGAGAAACTGTTTAGAAACTGATGGTGATATCACTGCAAAAATCAGTCAGTTCTTGAAGGCTCCCATATGAGCTGGCTGCCTGGAAAACGATTAATAGGACTGGGTTCTATTCTGGATTTAGAAATAACACCACAATTTGTGGGGTGCAATTTTATCTAGGGAAGAGAAGGCAGTAAGAAGCCTAAGAGGGAACAAGCTAGTATTCGGAGGGAAGAAATCTCACTGCAAACAAAACTAACTGCAAAGAAAATACAAGATAGTATTCTTACGACTGAGTAGAATTCCAAACTTTGAGCTAATAAATACATGAGATTTCAGTGGCCACGTGGGGAATCAGAGGCAAGTCAATGAAAAGTTCAGCATTATTCACCTTGATGGAAGGTTCTGTCTACTATAGACAGATTAAGAATCCAGATGTCTTGACATTGAATGCCATGTAGAGAAGGGCCATTTTCTTGGTATCTGGGGAGCCTTGCACCAGCTTAATGTGTAAGTGTGCTTTAAAATTTAGGTTTTTAGCTTGGGTTCTTTGTGGATGAGCTGTTCCACCTGCCCGCACCTGCAGTAGGTGAAATACTGAGAGAACTCTTGGAAACCAAGTTTGAGATTCTCCCCATGTCTCTATGCTTCAGTGCTAGTATATTTGAAAACCCAATTTCTAAAAAATGCTTTCATAAAATGTGGGCATTTTTCTTATTATGGCAGACAAAATAGTGACCCAGTTCAGTCTAGGACACCCATAATGAAGTCAGTCATTTAATCTTCTTGACTCGCATTTTTAATGGTTAATTTTTAAATAAGACATTACTTGATACTTTGTTTTTGAATTGATAATTTATGCAAACCAGGAAAATTTTATTATTAGGTTAAGCCAGATGAAATTGCTGACATTCAACCATTTAAAAAAAATAGGGCAATTTCATATGGTTCAATATAATATAATTGAATCATTTTTATTCCCCTCTTTCCTTCGTATCTACACTAAAGTCCATTTTGATTTTATGGTCATCCATGGGCTTTGTCCTCTTCACTGCAAACATTTTATTCTAACCTACTTAAATATAAGTAAATGGAGATTTGCTAAGGCTAAAAGTTAGCTAGGTTTGTAATTATGTGGTTGGATTTTTTATTCAGTGGATCAGAGTGAATCACTGACCTGTCGTCCTAATTTTGGTTTGCAAGATGTGGAGATTAATCCTGACCTTACCAGGGGTCATGGGAAGTGAGTCCACTCATCAACATGCTTCCACCCCTCAGAAGCATCATGCCTGTGCTGAGTGGCAAAAAAGTAGGCCTGAAATCACCTCACTCAAGGCTGAGTGTCTGTTGCCAGTCTGGCAGAAATCAGATCGAAACTGCTAAGTAATGGTGCATCCAGCTGAAGAAAGTTCCCCTGAGAGAGTAATCCCTAGTCATCTTATAAACATGCTTGTTCTGGGTAGGGGGATGACAGTTCAGTAGTCGAATGCTCTAGAGCACAGGTTCTCAACCCTGGCTGCACATTAGGATTACCTGGCCAGTTTTTAAAACTATTGATGCTAGGGCCCTACCCTCAGAGATTCAGATTCAGTAGGTTTGGGGTGGGGCCTGGCTGCCATGCTTTGTTCTAGATCCTCAAGGATTCTAATACACAGCTAGGGTTGAGAGCCTCCAGTCTAGAACTTGCAGTGGACCCTATTTGGAACCTTAAAGAATGGCCTAGCAATGAACGTTTTATTTTAGTTGTTAGTCATGTGGAACAAACAGTTGTTGATCGGTAATACAGACTGGGCAGCTGTGAGAGTTTCATGCTAATCTTTGCAGAAGTCAGGAATGTACCTCTTAAAGTGCAACCTAGGGCTTCCCTGGTGGCACAGTGGTTGAGAGTCCGCCTGCCGATGCAGGGGACACGGGTTCATGTCCCGGTCCGGGAAGATCCCACATGCCGCGGAGCGGCTGGGCCCATGAGCCATGGCCGCTGAGCCTGCGCGTCTGGAGCCTGTGCTCCACAACAGGAGAGGCCACAACAGCGAGAGGCCCGCATACCACACACACACACACACAAGTGCAACCTAAAAGGTCACTTTTGAAAACCTTAGAGCGTGAGAAGGAGAGATGGGCGACTTGAGTGTATGTTTGGCGGGGGGGATTAAAAACCTGTCATGTTTGCCCCCATCTGTGGGGAAAAAAGGAGTTTTGTCTTAACTGAGCTGCAGACTAATCAAATGTGAAGGTTTCTGAGGTGGTATCTTTGCAGTTTAACCTGAGATTATATTAATAGTCCCCATTGCAGTCAAGTGAACTTTCTTTCTCTTCACACTTTGCTTGTCCCCATGCCTGCATCCACGATGGACTCCTCAGGGTAAGGATGGGCCCATTTATTGCCTGAGCAGAGGCCCCGTATTAAGTGGAAAGTTGTGATCACTTTGCTGTCACGTGGGGGTGGTGTCGGTAGCAGGTAATTAAGGAGATGCAAACTTTTGTATAGCACCGACACAGGAAAGACAAAAACGCCTGCAATTCCTTTTCATACTCTTTTTGGGGACTACAAGGAGAACTGAACTAAAGAAGGAAATTTGGAATTTAAAGAAATTTGGTATTTCTTCCTAGGAAACAGGTATAGGAAGGGCATATGTGATTAAGTGGACTCTGACCATCAGGACTCAGAGTGACCAGACAAAGCATTGATGCCCTGCAGCCCAAAATCACGCTGCGACATCAAATGTTTCATCAAGCAAACAGCAAGGCGCTCTTTACGCCGTGTTCTCTAGACCTGAAAATGTCCTTCATGGTTCAGTTGACAAAATCTCTCTAGAAAACCTGAAAAAATGTTATCTCAGCTATCCGCGAACATTTCAGTCTCGGGCAAAGAAGTAATGGTTCTTTCCAAAACAGAAGTCTGTTTCACGCACACACCTCCCACCCCCCATCATAGCTCTCCCTTTCTATGTCCAGAGTGGAAGTTAATGTTATCATGTCAGCTATTTAATGTGAACAAAATGATTGCTAAATGTAGAAACACCGCTGATGCGCTCAGGGGAGGTTGCTGGCAGGGCAAACAAGCAACTCATCAGAGGGGGAAAATCATCCGCTTGGAAACCTACCTTGGTACCCATTGCGAGTTCTAAGAGGTAGATCAGAAAGCTGATTTTCCCATCTGCTATAAAATGCAGTCTGGACTGAGAGCATCTGGAAAGTCAGCTTTCTGATTCAGTAAGTATATGACTCCTTATTCCACTTCAGAAATGGGACACTTGACAGGTTTCGTGCCTGCTTTTTGATGTTGCTTCTGTAGGTGAATTAGTGTAGGAGCTAGTCTGTCAAATACAGTAGACTGGTATCATTGAATTCTGATCTCTTCTGTTGTTTTTTTAAATGAGAATCTGGCTCACCAGTGTCAATTGCTGCGTTCTGATACAGTAAATTGAGGGCATCTAGTGGCCAAGAGTTAGAGTTTAGAAACGACCCACCTGAATGCTGCTTTCACCATGTGGATACCTCAAAAGACCTTCCCTCTTTCTAAAACCTAATAAGAACAATCTACAGAGAAATATTCTGGAAACCAATGCTAATGTCTAACGAGGAAAAGCAAGTAGGCTCTTTGACAAGCCTTTCAAAACGAGACCTAGAAAGAAACCATTTTTTTCCAGTTCCAAGTTTCATAAGCAGAGTTTTTATAAATTAACAAACCCATCTTGTCAGCCAGTGCTAGCAGAAATTGTAAAGAGCAAAACCAAAGTTTTTGATGTCAGTTTTATTTTTGTAAGCAGGGTATAGTCTAACCATGGCCCACATGGCGCACACAGGCAGCCAGTTTTCTGCTACATGAACCTTGGAAAAGATGAGAAGGAAGGGCTGCCTGTTCTGCTGCCCTTTGTAAAGGTGTGTACCAGACATGAGAGTGCTCGGGAGAGGGAGAGGTTACCTTCTCATCCTGATGGCCACCTTTTCAAATGGGTTCACAGAACTGCCACATGTCATGGTCAGCTCAACTCTTGGCCAGTGGAAAATTATCTGGGCCTGTATGTGTTGGGGGAACTCAGGTGGAAAAGGACTTGGAAACAGCGTGAAGAACTCTACATCTGCTGTCTAAAGCACTTCAAAAAAGTTAAGATCCCAGTTTTACTGGGTGAGTATCTAGCTGCATGGACATTTGGGGGTTGACTTTAGTTGTGATTATTCCAGCTTTGGGCTTTGGAGAAGCAGTGGGATGATTTTCAGTCATGCGGGTGTTAAGTCTATGGATTTGGAATTTGTCCCTGAAATCACTCATTCGAAGTATGACTTCGTGGTAGGGTCACCTCCTAGGTTTTTTATTTTTTACATAAAATACATCTGGTACTTCTTACTTAGGAAGTTTTACTATGTCTATTAAAATGATTAAATGGGAAGGCCACCAAGATTCATTTAATAGCTGAAAAGCAGTTTTTTAAATAGAATAGGATGAATTTAATATGGGCTGATGTGACCTTTTGGGGAATTTTTTTATAGAGAGCTTACATACTGTAATTGGGGAAATTTTTGTCTTTTACTTCCATTCAACAGTAGCAAACTGGTGGCTTTATAAAATTAACATAGGATGTTATATAAACATGTTATATAAAATAATATTAAAGTATGTCTAACTGTGAAAAAGTGAAGACTTGGAGTTATCGGCAACCTTTATTTATGTGCAATAAGAAAAACTGGAGTTAGGCCCCCAAAGTGCTCCCTTTCCCTAGCATTTTACTTACTGTTTGCCTTTGTGTATATGTTTAGATTGATATTATAAAGCTAGCTACATGTTTTCTTGCCCTTTACTGATATTTAACACATTTTTCTCAAAGCTTTTTTTTTTTTAACAAAACTCAAAATAAAAAGATTAACTGGGTGAGCTCATCTTGCTTTGTATTTCTAAAAGTATTGTCTGTTAGTAGAAGAATGCAGTATGATCCTGTTCTTAGTCTGTTTCTTTCCCTCACAGAGAGGTTCTGTTCTGGGTGGAAGCTATTCCTCTCCAACTTCATTTAGAACAGAGATTGACAAATTACGGCAGCCCCTGGACCAAATCCAGCCTACTGCTTGTTTTTGTAAATAAAGTTTTATTGGCACACACTCCACTCACTCATTTGCATACTGTCTGTGACTGCTTTCACACAGAGCTGAGGAGTTGTAACAGCAGTGAACAACTAGCTGCTCATAAAGCCTGAACTATTTACTATCAGGGTCTTTACAGAAAAGTTTTTTGCTGACCCCTAATTGAGATGCTTGAAAATTTTTAGTTTTAAAATTAGATCTAAAAATCACAGCAACAGATTTTTTTTTAGATGTTAAAAATGTGCCTTAGGATGAAAAGAAACACTTTAAACCTGGTCTCTGCCTGTGACTTCTCCTGGCCTGCAATCATCTTTAACAGGCTTTGAGTGTTGGCTAGTTGCTAAGATTATTGAGCTCGCTATGGTTTCCTTCATAGTCTTTGTGTTCTTTTGTATGTAGACTAGCTTGTCCCTAAACCATGCAATTGAACTACATCATAACAGAGCAAAACCAAATCTTGTCATTAACAGTGACTCCAGAGTCATTTAATAATATAATTTACAAAAACATCAGATAGAACAATATAAAAGCAAAAATTTCTTTCAGTTCATTAGGGTTCTCCCACCCCAGGGAGAGAAATTACTTTTTAAAAATCCATTCAAGGGTCGGGGTGAGGGGAGCTATTTGAATTAGAGCTGGATGAGTCAGATTTTAAAAAATACCACCCAGACCTTTTATTTAATATTAAGTAATTTAATCAAGATACACAGGACTGCACTTGAACCTTATTCACATTGATGTTTTGTCCAGACACCTGCTGATGGGAAATGGTACCAAATCACGTCTCTTCTTTGTTCTGAGAACGCCTTGTTGACATGGCTCCAGCAGAGGCAGGGTCAGGCTGGGAACTAAAGCTCTTCCTATTTTATTGCCATAATTATCCACATTGCACTGTCACTTCCTTACTGGAAACTTCATTTCAACCAATGTGTCAGTCATTATTTAACAGCTCATAATATTCCTGCTCCGCAGAATAGCACAGCAGTTGGTACCAAGTCAAGCCCCAGTCTCTGACAGTGTGATAGACTGCCTCCACAGCATGGCTTCTCCAATGCTGGGACAACGTGCTGAGTGGCCTGGTTCGTGGTGACTGACCTGGAAGGGAAGGAACAAAGGATGTTTGAACTTCAGAACACAGAAATCCACGGAAAGCCTGTTGAACCTTGATGACATAAGGCCTCTTAAATATGAAACCTATAATCTTCCCTACCTAAGCTGCATTATCCAATGCTG